TGGTGTTTATCATGGAAATTGTGTATTATGTTTATTATACTTAAAGGGCTTAATGTGGTTGGTGCTGGTGATTAGGAATGGGAGATAATGAACGACTTGAGAGGAGATATGGCGAGACTTCAGCAAGGAATGAGTCATATGCAGAGGACTTTAGAAACCTGTATGGATATGCAGTCTGAGCTGCAGCGTTTGGTTAGACAAGAGGTTTCTGCGGCTTTAAACCGATCTCCTGGTGACAAAGGTTTTTTTTCACTTTCGATCCATATTCTATTCCTAGTCTGCATATCGAACAATCTGTTAACTAAATGGATAATGCCGTCAGGTCTTGGACCAGGAACATCAGAGGATGGGTCGAGATGGAGCCATGTAAGGAAAGGGACTTGCTGCGTGTGCTGTGATAACGACATAGATGCCCTCTTGTACAGGTAAATTATTTGCTCAAACCCGGTTAGTTTGTGATTTACAGAACGAAAAACATGCGTCTGACTATAACTTTGCGAATCTTTGAAACCTGAAGATGCGGGCACATGTGCACTTGCTCGAATTGCGGTAACGAGCTGGTCCGAACAGGAGGGAAATGCCCATTGTGTAGAGCGCCTATTATGGAGGTGATCCGAGCCTACTCCATCGCTTAAGCCCTCTGAAACTGGAGAGCAATGAAGTTAAAGAGAAGAAAAAGCAAATAAGAGAATGTGATTGTTTTGATGTGTGAGCAAGAAACAGGTTCAAAATCTCTGATGTTGATTTAAATCTTCATTCCTTTCTTCGTCTGATTAAGATCCCTAATCTTTTGTTCGATCATGTTGTCTCTAAACTCTTGAAGCATCGTCTCTGCAGATTGTTACAGCGATGTAAACGCTCTAAAAGGGATCAAACCAAGAGCAGATACGTATTTACTCTGTCATCAATAGGTTTTTTTTAAAAAAACGAGTGTCATGTACTTCTGTGTTTAGAGAAAGAACACAACCAGTTCACAGAGATGATGGGTTGAAATTATCATAGTTGTGCATACAGGGATTCAGCATTTAATTTATGAGGAGACCATTTCATGAACAGCTAATATCGCATGTTACTGAATATTGCGATAAAATTAGTAAATTACATATTTTATGCATACATAGATCAACTATCTACATAGAAAGATGTTCTTTCTTTCCCTGTAAATATATCTAGGTGAGTATCAAACGGTAAATAAGTTGACAAAAGAAGAGGGAATTCTGAAAAAGAAGAAATGACGACTAGTAGGGCCTCACAAAGCAATACAGACGGATTTTTTTTATTGGAACAAAGTACTATGAAATATTTGGCGTAATACAGTTAGATTTGAAACACAAATATATATATATATATATATATGATTAAACCGAAAGTATTTTTCAGAGATAACCTTTGCAAGAAAAACAACCGTATCATATATCTCCCGTTAGAGAGCTCAAAATCCTTCTTCAAAACCAATGAGTAGTAGCAAACATTTAGTACATACACACACAGATTCATCATTCATGAATATATAATTATATTCCGATGATCTCTAGGGGTTTTATGATTCTTCATGTTTCATCTCGGTCTTAATGGCTAAAGCCAAGTGATCATAAGCTTGAGACCAAGCTCCTTCCACTTCTTCATTGTATTTCTCTCCCAACCCTTCTTTCAGTGTCCTTACCAAAGCCTCTTTCACCACCTGTAGTCACAACCGAATTTAATTATTTAATTTCTTTTAAATTGAAATATCAAAAGTCAATGAAATGATATATACATATATATATAGAGTTAGAAAGAGACCTCGAAGTGAGGATCAAGAACGCCGCTTTTGAGATGAACAGAGCCCAAGTATTGGAGGGTTGTGTCAGCCACAACCACCTTTCCTTTCTCCCTCAGCTGTATTGCTGTTTCACATGTCTCCACCCCAAAAAATGAAAATTTACAGAAAAATTCAATGTTTGTATGATCGAAAAAGTTAAGACTTAATTCAAATTGCTTTTTAGCAGATGTCAAAGCTAAATTCATCTAACAAAAAACAAATTCATGAAAGCGAGTCGACCCACTTCAATTCTTTGGTAACGTTTACTCCGTAGGAAAATGTGTGTTTGTTTTACGTGGATTTTATGAATAAGCCAATATTTATTTAATTATTATGCACTACTATATGAATTATTATTGTATCACGAAGAAGAAGACAAATAAATTAAATTAGCCAAATCCAAACAAGATATACCGCAACATCGTGTGCACATGGCTACGTAAATAAAAGAAAATAAAATAAGATTCTTTAGCAATAATGGACCATTTTAATTTACATCTAATTACAAGTGTAATTAATATTATGATATACGATTCTATGTGAGTGACACATATACATGTAGATGTTTCTTAGCAAAATATATATACACATATATACATGTAGATGTATATATCACAAAATAAAATAAAATAATGTAATATACCATCTTGAAGACTTTAACAGCATGAGCTTTGAGTTTAGGATTGTTGCGAGGGACTTCATCTGAGTCTCTCAGGAAAGAGAACATGTCCTTTGCTGCTGGTGCTATCTCCAGTATCCTATTTATCATCAGTATATTGTTTATTAGCTTATATATATATATATATATATAGAAAACATATATGTTTGTATATATGTATATGTATATGTATGATTACTGTGAGAAGAAGTGAAGGCTGTATTTGGGGATGTCTTGCTTCAGTATCTCCCAGGACTCCTTCACCAGAGTTTCTTGCTTCTCTGTAAACCCAATATCTCCCATCTTTCTCTCTCTCTTTTTTTTCTCTCTCTCTAAATTTGAGACACAAATATTTGTATGTGTATCCCTATATATGTGTGTGTGTGTTTTTTGTCAACGTTTTGGCCTTGTAAGTAACTCAATGGTCCTTTGGCTGCATCTGTGACTGTGAGTTCTTTTTGATGAAGATTCTCTCAATTATTAAATGATTAAAAATGTATTTATATGTAGTAAAAGATCCATTAACTAAAAGCACTATCTCTTCATGGTATACACGCGTACGTAAGAGAAAAAAACTAGATACAGTACGTAATATATTAATATTAATATAACTAGATATATTTGAACGAGTGCTAGGCTGCTAGCTCAAAAGATTACTTGCAAGTCGACATACCACATACATACCTAGTAAGAAAAAGATAAGTGGGGCTTTTTCCTTAGAAACAATGGAAATAAGAAAATTATTATATATATAATATACTTGTCCAAAAAAAATTACTATACATAAAAAAATACAATTGCTACTGACTTAAAAATTACGATGAAGCATTTGAAATAAACATTGTAGGGCAATATAAGTATATAACTATATTAGAAAAATAAAGTATATATTTCGGATGAGAAACTCCGGGAAGTTATAGTATTATAAGCTCCAAATTAAAATTTGATATCTCCTACCTTGACCAAAAAAATAAAAAAATTAGATCTCTCTCTGGGACCCATCTCTCTCTCCAATGAGCTACGTACACGATTCTCTCCATATAAATTGTTATCATGCGCCAAATGGCCTTAAGCGATCCAAAATTATGTCCGGCCCAATCCACATTTGGAACTTCACCCCCATTAATCATCATCAGTAAACCAAACCAAACAAAAATGAAAATTTAATTTAATGCGGTAAGTTATCCAACGAACAGAATCGAATTGTAGCTCATTACTTTTTATTTCTAATCAAATTGGTTTAAACATAACCGTGAAAAATGAAGTTATATTTCGTTTAACTTTAAAATAAGTTTCTCAAAAAAAAGAAAATAAATAAATCCATTAGTCAAGAGTAGCTCTTTTTATCAAAATTAAATGAATGAAAAATGTAGCTCCTCTTACATGCGACATGATAGCTACCATATACCTTGTTCTTGTTTTGTTTGTCAAAAGAACCAATATGGTATATACAATCTTAATTCTTATTAGATAATAAATAAACTCAAGCAATCATAGAATAAGTGTACATAATATACCAACAATTTTGAAGAAGTAATCAGAATGGCTTGTGTTGCGTTCTAAGACAATTACTTGTTGGATGCGTAGACATGCATGGCTCCTCCTTCGTCGCAGGACCATATAAATATTTAATTTAACATTCAATTGTATTGTTCTAATGAATAACGCCCATTAATTCCATTTTGGTCGCATGCAGGTCCATATAATTACTGTATATTTAATTTTGTTGGTCTGGTGAGTGGTGAGTAATCTTCTTCATTCTGTCCGCCAATAAAAGAATTTAAAATTTGTCCTCTCAATTTAATTTTCTTTTTTTGAAAGAGACGCATATACACAGATAAAACACTTCAATGTTGCTGGAATCACGGTTCAACTTATTTTTATCTTTTAACAGTTCATTGAATAACTAGATTCATTTTAGTTTATCTTCTATCGAACAGTTCCTTAAATAGAATGTGATGATATTGGAGATCGTAAATAATCAAACGATGAGTATCAAGTATCAACTTCGAACTTTGAAATCTGTAGAATATTTTCTTATTAATATTATAATTACTACACAAAAATGAATTGCGTCCATAATATCTACAGATCCCAAAGTTACGTCCATCGCTCCACCCGCCGGTCGAAATGTCAGAAACAAACATGACTTTCTGATCAATTAGTTTGATTATAATATAACTTAGTTTAATTGTTGTCCATGTTTTTTACTCGTTTTACTGAGCAGTGAGCAACTAAAGCATTCGTTTAAAATAGATATTTGCATATTTGAAGGCTTCATTATCTCTCCGTTGTTGCTTTCACGACGTAGGACACGCAACTAATACATCTTCTACCAAATCAACACCTAAAACTTCTAAACGCTATTAGCATTTTTGATAACTTAATTAACTACTATCATTAATATTATTATAAATTTGCTCCTTTTGAAAATGACAGCAAACACTTAAAATTTTATTTGTATCTGGCTAAGAAGATAAAACAGATTTTTATTATACTTTTAGTTATCATCTGAACAATGCGTCATACCAAAATTACTTTTTTTTATTGTGGCTGTAGATATTTTGGTTCATAATTTCTTGCCATTTGTTCAGTTGTAGAAGTCGAAATATTTATTTAGTTGGACATACTGTGAGATTACTTCTTCTTTTTTTCATGGCGCTGGATGATAACTAAGTCGATCTTGTCTCTTATGTATGACATAAATATCCCAATTATTACTAGAAAACTTGGCAATTGGAATTAAATTTCATTTATTACGGAATTTACAACATCGACCCCTCCATGCGGAATTAATATACGGTTGCAGAAAATTATCGATCCATTTCAAAATTAAAAATTATAAAACTTATAATATTTTTTAACTTATACTAAATGATTTCACTTTTCCCCTCCATGACGCTGGATGAAAAATAAGTCGATCTTGTTTCATATAAAATGACATAAATATCCCGATTATTATTAGAAATCTTGGCAATTGGAATTAAATTTCTTTTTACAACGTCCACCACTCCATGCGAAATTAAGACGCCGTTGCAGGAAATTATCCATCCATCATCAAAATATATAAAAATTCTAAAACATTTAATAATTTTTTATTTATATATAATTTCACAATATCTCCAGTAAAACTGTAAAAATGTAAATCTTGAACTAAAGGCTCATCTACGTGCAGAATAAGGATAGCTTCTCCGCCGTTTCGCCGTCGTCGACATGTCACTATATACGGAGGAGAAGAAACGGTCAATCTCGTCCCGATTCATGATAATTTCACAAGTCGACACTAAAAGCTTCCTCTTGCACGATCTGATCATCAGAGCCGCCGTAGCCGACGGTTTTGACGGCGGTGGCCGGGGTTTTCGCGGTGGAGGAGGTGGAGAATCGACCACGGAGGGAATCTTGTGTTCTTGGGATGTGGGTGTGCTGCAGCTGAGGCCATCTTCGTCATCGCCGTCGTTGCTGTTTCTGGAGTTCTTGGATCGGATCTTGATAGTTGCTGGTAAACTGAATTTGGACAGATCTTGTAATAACTCAAGATCCATATCTATAATTCCGTGTGTTTTTTGTTTGTTTGGGGAATCTTTTTTTTTTTTTGTGGATGTAGAAAACTTGTTGGAGAAGGTGAGAGGTTGAGAGAGGTTTGTTATATGTGTTTGTGTCTTTACATACACGTATATACACACATACTCACAAAGTTGGAATGTCGCATTTAGAAATGAGAGTTAGTTTTTTTTTACATGAAAACAATAAAAAGAATTAACAATAGAATTGAAGAGAAGTAAGGTAAATATATATATGAGGAAGGAGAATATATGTACGTAGTTTTCCGAATTTAGAAAAAATATACTATTACTAGGGAAGGGATGATGATAAGTTACTTTGTATAGTTGCATTTGTATGTATGTTATAACTAGAGCACATGTGGTTCACCATTTTGAAAGGGTTTACCTAATTTTCTGAACAATTTATTTTATATTAATGAGGTTTTAATAGCACCGTAATAAATACGATGGAAAGATATGTAAATTCAAGCAAGAAAAAGCACAAATTACTACTGTTAGATGATGAAGTTAAATGTGATATTTAAATTTGGAAAATAGTGAGGAATCTTAGAAATTTATATGCTCTCTAGCTGTTGTTTTATCAATAGAACGCATTTGATTTGGTGAGAACCACAGTAAAAGAAGTTTAAGCTGAGTTTGTATAAGCGAAAGTAATTTTTCTTAATAGTGTTGTGGTGATATATAAAACCAATCAACAATCTTTTGGGTAGTGAAAGTAGTAAAGTTACCGTCGGCCAATTAACAATGTATATAATCCATATGAATGACAGGGAATGCAAGAGTGGGAGTGTCTTAATCCAAAGTGGTAGAAAATCAAAGTCAATCGCGTAGAGAGTATGCATTGCTCACACCGTCACTGTGTTTTATAGGGTGCTTATATAAACTATATAATAAATTTATGTTGAATGACATTAGCAATTGTTTTAAGTACATATGAAGTATAATCCAAAACATAAAAAGGAGATTGTGGTAAACAAATTTTATGAAAAAAGATTTTAGGAGTAGGAATCCCACCGTCACACAAAGGTAGTAGTATCCACAGGCCAATTTCGGATATAAATTATTGAGGATCAATAGTAGACAGGCCACATATTGTAAGTTTTAATATTTTCAACGATTAATGTATATATCGTAATGAAAAAAAAAAACATTTATTAATGAGTAATACAAACTACTCATTGCAATCTCATCACTTAATTATTAATAAATTCAATTGTTGCGTAAATATAAAGAGTTTATATCTCTTCATATTTTAAACAAAACCTCTAAAGTATTTGGGATAACCTTAGTATTTATATGACTATAGTTTTGTTGTTGATGAATAAAGGTAAATAAATAAAAGTTTACAAACGCAAATGGTGTTCTCGTACCCTCGGTCTCCCATCTAAAGACGTGTGTGTTATGTTTTCAGCATCAACATTAATTAAAAGTGTGTATATGCAGAAACTCATCTACTTGATAAACAGAAGTATAACCATCAAAACAATAATAATTTATACCACTAAATATAGGTAAAGTAAAGTACATATAGGTAGAAATCGTAGAACAACGTATAATCTTAGATCTCAAGCATGAAGTTTGGTTAAATATATGTGTCTTGTACCCACTACAACCTAAAGACATGGCATGTGTTTAGATTTAAACACTACTCCATGCATCATTATATTTTATGTGAACAACTGACTGCAATCAGTTTTTTTCCTTTATTAATTAAATGTCCAATGTGAGAAGTTGTACGTATAATTTTCATGTGACATTATGATTTCAAGATATACGATGGACCCACAACGTTTTACACGCCGATTTTTGATAATGTATAAAACATACAACAATTCTTAGGTTGTAATATGAGTTTGCTACTAGCTAGTTGCGCACTTCGTAGATTATTTATGATTCTAGTCTTCTATATTAGTGATTGGGTTGGGCAATTCTGCCTATTCACCTGAATTGTAATTTATTTTGGTTTATGTATACAGTTTCATACGATACATAAATAATGAGATTAATTACTACCGAATTTTGGGTTTAAAATTTTTAACTGGTTTGGTACGATTTAGCTTTAGTTTATATTTTGCTGCGTCGACTTTTTTTGGTTTGTCATCATTATGCTATGTCGTATTTGAAGTAAGATTTGATCACTCTGAAGTCTGAACAACATGTTATACACTAGCTGCGCTGCGTGATGTACAGTATGTATAGTTGATATAATTACAAATTCTGTGTGAAAATGCGGCAAAATATGACATATTTTGGACATGCCACGTATGACGCATCGAGTGTGCATGTGGTGATAATATAGAGATCGTAGATCTGTGGAAGTGAGTCAGTAGCAGTATCCAAATAAAAAAAAGTACAGAACTGGAAAGATCTTAATCTCTCGCAGAAGATCTAAATTTCTTGCCTTTGCTTCTTTTTTTTTTTACTTAATTTTTGTCAACCTTTCCTTCTTCTTTTTTTCTTTCCAATTTTCTTTTTGGAAGTGAGTCAGTAGGTCCAATTGTTTTTTTTTGTTTTTCTTTTTTTTTTTGTCTATAGACATGGACATGTTTTTTGGTTTGATTTACAAAGGGAGGCTTGAACAGAGAGATGTATGAGGGTTTAGGTTTAGGATAAGCCGATGTTATTTGTGAGGCCACGAAACCATACAATCACAATCAACAATCTGTAGCATTTAGAATCCATCAACTAATTATACTCGATGTTGAAGTTTCGGTGGTCCAGTTACGGTTCTTTTATCTGCCTAAACCGAACCGTCTAGAATCAAACCATATTCCATTCTGGTTTCTTAAACCGAAAATGAATCGAGAAATAAAAAAAAAACAACTGGAAGTATGAAACAGTACTCCCACAGATTTAAAATGCTTTGTAATAAAATAAATAAAATAAATAACCAATACTCAGATTCTACAATGAAATCATAGTTTAATCAACTTAAAGTAGATCTTGTTTGAACTGGTTTCATCATATCTCCTATAATGGAAAAATTCATGAACCAAAATACGATAACCAAAACAGATTAATGACTCCTAGATCTATAGTACTTAAAAAAAGAAGATATAATACTTGGTTAATCAGCTAAAAGTTCTCTACTCGATCAGACAAATGTTACAAGATATTCATAATATCGACAATCCTACAAGTTGTGTTAGAGGAAATATTCTTACATATATTGTCAAGGCATGAAACACGATGGCCTACATTACAGGGTCGATTACAAAGAAAGTACATCGTAGTCCGTAGACATAAGAATCACTATTACAGGTGAATAACAAAGAAAACAAACCTAATTTGACAAGAATGAATTATATATATATATATATATAAATCCATACAGTCTTCAAATTTGATTCATATGCATAGGATTCCCAAATATTTCTGTTTTATTAATTATCGTTCGATCGACTGCTTTCGAAAGTCTTAGATATCTTGATTATACATAAAAAAATTAGTACACACACAGAGAAGAATGAAGACAAATAATCATGTGTCTATGATTAAAATCACATTATATAAATAAATTCAAGGAAATCTTAGATCAGAAATAAATTAATTTTAATTAGTATGAAAAAATGGTTCCAAATTCGTAAGAAGCCGAAAATTATACTATAAAATTATGTTTTGGGATTTTTAGATTCAAGAACAATTAAAAAAAAAAAAAAACAAAATCGAGCGCACCATAGTTTTATGTATAATGAAATATTTAGAGTAGCAAATATCATATACTACAATTGTTATTAATTTGTAACCCGGCAATGTGGACGATAGACGTTGTAAGTTCAATATTATTTTGTGCTCAATAACATGAATCATACGGTTTGAATCCTAGTGATGACGCATCAACGACAGTAATATAAACCTCTTCATTTGGGAAAGTTTTGATCCGTAAGAACTATATATGTTTAGAATTATAGTATTTTCTAGTCAACAAATGAGTTTTATTTTCAAGATTATACTAAATTTAGTTTCTATCCGAAAATATTGATAATATTTCGTGTTGTATCTGTGTATTTGATGATGCGTAGAGCTAATTTACAAGTTGACCAAAAAAAGGAGCTGATTTACAAGCTTTATTTTGTTTGTAAAGTGGATCGATACATTATAATGATAGATTTTGGCTCATAATTGTGCATAGTTAATTAATAGTATTTCTTACAGTTGTTACATGATATGAATAAATAAATGATTAGTATCACCACCGTTCTAGCATTTTATTATATGTAATGTACAATGTAGACAAAAAAGCAAGTGAAACGTAACGTGCATGGCCTCCAAATCATGAATACATTCCTGTATCCTTTTTGTTATTTATTCTTATACTAATATATTTAGTTATTTCGCAATAATATACCATAAAATTCCAAAGACTATACCAATCGACACCAAAAGTAAAGATAAGGAGCATGATGGCTCTCCATTGGATGGTTTAGGGAACTTCATACTCAATTGTCTCCCTATTATAAAGATGGACGGATGTATCGATCATACAAATTGAGATTGACAAATATATACACATCAACTATTTTAACTATCTAACCAAAGGAAAGTTATCGCAATAGGTTGCTGATAGTAATTGTTGGGTATTTGCAGTGTCGTATGTAGGTTTATAGGGACTTAAGGCAAACTAAAAAAATAGGGTCTTTTTCATTTAAAAAAAAAGGTTTTCTAACAAAAAAATATAATATAATTTTAAAATCATATAAAATATTCAAAAGTAAAATTTTAATCTAAAAAACTAATTAAGACATAATCTTTCTTCCTTCTTTTTCAATAAACTTTTTCACCAAACTCTCATAATTGAGGTCCTTAACTAGTTTTCTTTCTATAGATATGATAGATAGGCCATTCAATCTTTCTTGTGACATAGTTGATCGCAACTAAGACTTTATCAACTTCAATTTTGAAAAACTTCTTTCAGCCTAGGCAACTGAAACTGGAATCGTCAGCAATATCTGATAAGCAATCTATGAATTTTTTTTTTCTCTTGAGCTTTAAGGTTTTGGTCTTATTTTAGGATGTTATAAAGCCGATAATCTAAACAAATCTTAATCAATTTCCTAAAACTATTGGGAGAATGTAATCTTAATCGATTTCCTATATCTATTCCTTTTTTTTCTCTTTTATAAAAAAAATAAGAAAACATCTTATGTAAAAAAAGATTTCATGCCAACCATAAACCACTTAACCACCTCTTACGAAAATGGGGGCCCTGAAAAATTAACATATTTTGGGGGCTTGAAGTGAAAGCCTTTTTCACTACATGGTACGCACGGCTCTGGGTACTTGCTAGACGAGACCGCTCCAGTCCTGACCGGACCAGCAAATCGGCAGCCACATGCGGGATCAAGATTTGTTTATTATTTGCCAAAACAGATAAGGTTCCTTTTTAATCTATCTTTAGGAAGTTTTTTTCTTCGAAATGGCTATGTTAGATTTGAAGGAAAGTTACAAAACTTATGTGTTAGGATTTCATTACATTTTATGAAAAAGTATTAATATACAACTGTAATAAAATATATATATATATATATTTTTATATATAATAAGGACTAATCCTGGGAAAGGAATTATAGAAATGGAATCCAATGTTTTTTTTTGGGCGCTACTTAACAAAAAAAAAAAAAAAACAAACAAACAGCCCTACGGCCTACGCCTCCAAAAATAGTTAGATAGATCGGTCATATTTTTACGGGATCACTTTCAAAAAAACTGTCAAAACATTAAGTTAAATTTATAGAATACACGATTATTGTAGATTTCTCTGTAAATCTTATAAATAAGATCGTCAAGGTCATATACTATTTTGTTTATAGTTTTTCAAACTCTCTAAAGCTCAACTACCACAGAGTTGTGTTTTAGATGTGAATTATGTGATCATAGTAGAATCCACAACAATAGTCGTCTAGCTAACATAACGATCTGTCTTAACCAATCAGTTCATCACTCTCTAACTTTTTTTTGTTTTAACCTTTATTATAATCAGGAAATCACATGGAAAAGCAAAAACCTAATTTTATAGTATACCAAGATACATAGGAAAGACTTTGAATCACAGAAGTCATGCCTATATATCATCTTAATTGTCAAATGACATAATCATTATCAGCATGAAACATACATGCGACAAGGCTAGTTGGAAAAAAAAATGACTTGGAAGAGTCATGCCCAATTGCTTCTGTAGCTTCAAGCGAATATGCAATTGCATCTTAACTTGTTTGTGGGTTTTGATAGGCTCTTTTTCCAGTTCAGGCCCAATTATGAGTACTTCAGGCCTACTCAAACATCTCTCTATTATTTTTTTCGTCAGACAGATTTGTTTTTTTTTTAGTTTGTAAATTATTACCGAAAATTATAAAACCCTCAAATCCAGTCAGCGAATTATCCATGTCGGAGCTCTCAGTACCTTTTACTAAACCCTAAAAACCTTCACGCCTTTTTTATTTGGGATCTTTTTATTTTTTGTTTCTTCTTCTTTTAATCAAAGCTTCACCGCCGTGTTCTGTTTCCTCTGCGCCGCCTTCTCTAATCTCAAGCTCGCACCTCTCAGGTGAAGCAAATTTAAGATTTCTTTCTTTGCCTATAGTTTGTCTCGATCTTCCTAGCTCTTCCCGTTCTATTGTTCAACGTAGCTGAATCAGGATTCAATCGGAATGAATAGAAATCGAATTTATGGCCGGATATTTCTTCAGATTTAATAGACAGAAAAAGGATTAAAACTCATAAGCTTTTATGATGGGTTTCTGATTATCTGTCTGGATTGCTGCTATCAATGTCTATAAGTGTAATGAGTTGTTTATTCGTTTAGGTAATAAGGAGGACGCTAGATGAAGCTCAATTCAGAGGATAACATTCTCATGGAGAAGGTTTTGCCTCCTGATGAGCAGGTATTGCCTTCGTCTGGTTGAGATTTCAAACACTTAATGATTTGTGTGGGCTCAACTTTGCTTCGAATTTCTATGCAGGAGATTGATGTTGAGTTGGAGGCTAAAGAAAAGAAATATCTTAGAGGAGGAGCTGTTAATCTAGAGGTATAGATATACATTTATATAGAGTGTTTTTTTATTTAATGATTGTGGCTTTTCGTTGCGAAATGCAGAAGCTAATTGTTTTCTTCTTGTTCTGCAGTCATTGAAAGATAAAAAACTAAAGACAAAGGTTGCTTCACGAGAAAAGTTTTTTGGAAAATCTGCAAAAACTGCTGCCAAAATCGAGAAAGTAAATTTACTCCTCCCTTCAGCTCTGTGCGTATCTTGTTGATTCTTCTGTTCTTGATAGTTCAGCTGGTTTCGAATTCATAATTATTGTCTTGTTATCTGGTTTGTTTTTATGTAGTGGCTCTTGCCGAATAAGGGAGGGGGCTTGGAGACTGATGGTCTAGAGAAGACATGGCATATTGATCAGCTAAAAATTTCCAAAGAAGTGGATATATTAAGCTCAAGAAAACTATATGACGTAGTGCTCCCAGGTAAATGCTCAATAGCTTCTTCTGAGAGGGAAAAATCGTAGCATATGTATGTGAAATGTTTAAGTTATAGGTTAGTCTTGTGATGAAAATACTCTTGTCGTTACGTGTGCTTCTAATTCATATTACTGACATTGGTGAACATATGTAGATCTTGGCCCTTACAAACTTGATTTTTCTGCAAGTGGTCGGCATATGGTACTTGGGGGTCGCAAAGGCCACATTGCTCTTCTAGACATGATGGATCTTAAGTTAATTAAAGAGATCCAGGTTGGTTTTTTCTTTATTTACTTACATTCTAATCTTAATCCGGGCTTGTTATATTTGTTATATGTGATATTTATGATTTAGATCTCAACAGAACCTGATGATATCTGCAGGTAAGAGAAACAGTACGTGATGTTGCATTCCTTCACAATGACCAATTGTTTGCAGCTGCCCAGAAGAAGTATGTATATCGTCACTTTCAATAGCATCCAAAAAACTCAAATATCTGAAATCTACATTCCTTGTGTTTTAGAGGGTGCTTGGTCTAATATCTGAACTTGTTACAGGTATGCTTATATTTATGGGAGAGATGGAACTGAGGTGCATTGTCTAAAGGTGAGAATTGTGCTTTTCGGTTGAAAGAAAGAAACACATGCCTAGTGGTCTTGGTTATTGACTTCAAACTTTGTCTACTTCAGGAACGTGGTCCAGTGGCCAGACTTCGGTTCCTAAAGAACCATTTGCTGCTTGCGTCAGTAAACAAAATTGGGCAGCTACATTATCAAGACTTAACCCATGGTGAGATGGTGGCTAGTTTTCGAACAGGTAAAGGCCGAACAGATGTAATGGAAGTGAATCCTTACAATGGTGTTGTTGCCTTGGGACATTCTGGTGGAACCGTCACAATGTGGAAACCCACAAGCCAAGTACCTCTAGTCCAGTTGCACTGTCACCCTGGGCCAGTCTCATCTGTCGCGTTTCATCCAAATGGCCATCTCATGGCTACATCGGGTAAAGAGCGCAAAGTCAAGATCTGGGATTTGCGTAAATTCGGGGAAGTTAAGACCATTGACGGTTTCCACGCCAAAACGCTGAGTTTCAGTCAGAAAGGTTTGCTAGCAGCTGGAACTGGATCTTTTGTTCAGGTTTTGAGTGATTCGAGTGGTGACTCTTCACATAAGTATACTAGATACATGAACCACTCGATGGTGAAAGGTTACCAGATTGAGAAGCTTATGTTCAGGCCATACGAGGATGTTCTCGGGATTGGTCACTCGATGGGTTGGTCTAGCATTCTGATTCCAGGGTCTGGAGAACCCAATTTCGATTCATGGGTGGCTAATCCGTTTGAAACATCGAAACAGAGACGGGAGAAGGAAGTCCATATGCTTCTTGATAAACTTCCACCTGAGACAATCATGCTCGATCCTTCGCAGATTGGTGCGATGAGGCCATCGAGGAGGAAAGAGAAGCCAACAAGAGGAGAGATAGAAGCTGAGAAAGAGGTGGCCATAGAAGCGGCAAAGAGCATTGAGCTGAAGAACAAGACCAAAGGAAGGAACAAACCAAGCAAGAGGACCAAGAAGAAGAAAGAGATGGTGGAGAACGCGAAGCGAACATTCCCGGAGCAAGAGCACAACAAGGCAGTTAAGAAGAGAAGAATCGGTGAAGATGCTGCGGCAGAGCTACCCACAAGTTTGAAAAGGTTTGCCCGAAAAAAATGAATTGTGATGTCTGAAGATTTGAATTCTATCTTGATTTTGTTTCCCTCTTTTCTCCTAATAATAATGGTTCTGTAGTAGGAGAAACTAGAACTTTCACGATTTTGCAAAAAGAAGAAGAAAAAAAATCCAAGTTCCATTTAACTGCTCGGTATTGAGCCTTGGTGATTATAATTTAAAAAAATCGCGATTTCTTCTATCCTGAAAATCCTCAAAACTTAGGGAATTAAGGTCTATATTATCATACATTCACTCATCAACTCTCTGAATTAGTATCATTGTAAATTTGATTTCTGACCAAAAGCTAATTGATTCTGATTTCCGAGAAATAGTTGAGATCATGTTTTGTCTTTGAATTTTGATTTTCGAAATTTATTCTAAACATATTTTGGTGAGAAAATAATGGGATTCTCTCAAGTTAGGTCTACGCAATCCTAAACTAATATGTGAATCTAGAACAAGTCACTCTCTGAAATTGGTATTTGATGGAGGTTTTTGACTACTTGTCTGAAGTCTCTCGTCACTCTTCCTCCTCCTTGCTGGACCAACACTGCTCACAGACAATGACAAAAAAAAACCAAGCTGTTTCATCCGGCGTCACCGTGGATATATAATCGAATGTGAGATTTGTGTTTTTCGGTTGAAATGAGAAAGAAACGTATGCCAAGAGATTAAATGACTTCCAAAAGAAACTTTGTTTACTTGAGTAACATCGTCCATTTCCTGCTTGCATCAGTAAACAAAATTGGGCAGGCAGCTACATACATTATCGAGGGGTAACCTATGGGTGAAATGGTGGCTACTGGCTAGTATCCGAACACGTAAAGAGGCCAAACAGATGTCAAGATCTCTAGAGCCAGCTCTTCTTCATCTTGAGGATTCTGTGTGTACAATGTGATGAGAGAGAAGCACTAAACCGGCGGTAGATCAGAATGTGGAAACCAAATCGAGAATACCAAGATGGACCGGTTTGACTTGTTCCTTGTTTTATTTAATATGGAGTGGAAATCGAAAGAAAATGCTCTTAGAGCATGAACATTGTTGAAACTCAAGTGGGTTTCATAATAATTTTTTTAATATTTTTTATTAAAATGGAAAGAATAATGATGAAACATGTGTCAGGAAAAAGGTGAGGAAGGAAAAAATATTTTTTTTTCTCCATATGGAAGAACCAATCATATGCATCCACATGTTTTAAAAACGTCTCTTATGTGTTTTAATATAAGCGATATCTTCTCTACTTTTACATAAAACACTGATTAAAATAATAATATTTATTTTTAAGAGATGCTGTAAGAGACAGCAATGTTCATGGTATTATGATTCAACTGAAGAAACGCAGCTCATCTTGTTACAAAAAAAAAAAAAAATTACGGATAAAGGACAACTATTCGCTATAATAATCATAATGATATTTTAGAAGGAAGAAAAAACAAAAAAAAATACTCGGTAAGGTCACATCCGTCATTTTTAGTTAAACTATATGATAATGATAATGAGCACCACACATGTGTCAGTTTTTGTGTTAAAGATTAGATTCTATTTGAGATAAGTTTTTGGTGTTAATATATATATACATAATTAGGTCATTCACACTATTGTCTCCTTCTCTCATCTGCGCCACCTTCCCCTCCCCTCCCCTCCCCAGGATCGAGAGGTTCTCACATCTGTGTATAATACCCTTAAACCCAATTATTAGTTATCGTAATTGAGCTTTGTTTCTCAATTAATTCCGTGTTTTGGGGGTAAGAGTATTATACAGAGAGATGGAACCTAATCTGAATGGTTGCCTCTTCAACTCCAACTTTGGAGGGTCAGATCGCAAAACGGGACATGAATCCATGGCTGTTATGAACAATATACATACATATTTTTTTGAGATTTCTTTCAAAAGTGATCACAAGTAAGTAAGATTTTTCTCTGCTATTCCCTTATTTTCGATTGCAAATTGAAAGCTTAAACACACACATAAATTACTCCAATAATACATTTTCAAATCCATCTTTCAAAGTATTTAAATTTGTATTTCTAAAAACATTAATTAATTCATTATGGTGGTAAAGAAAGAAAGAAAATAGATTAGGGTAGCTCATCTTAGGATTGTATTTGGGTTTTGTTAAAATAATAGAACATTTCCAACAAGAATGCTTTAAAAATAAGGGTTTGGAGGATTCCATTGCTCTGAAAACAAATTAAGGAATCATGAAGTTTGAGAAGAAAAAAAAAATCTTTGTGAGTAAATTGTATTGTGGGTTATAACAAATAATAACTCTTTCTACAAGCATTTGTATCTAATCATGAAGATAAGAAGACTATCATTGTAATCGCTTTTTAATTAGACCCAAAAAATTTGGGTTTCTACAGGTCAATAGCGCTCACGAGCTAATGTATTTCGGGTAGAGTTTTTACACGAAAAACCCGAAATGTGAACCAGAAATAAAGATAGAAATCAACCTCGTTTAATCATCCGGTTATTAAATACCAACTGGTACGAGGATTATAATACAAAATTTAGGTTTAAGATGCTTGACGAACTTTGACCTCGTCTTCTCCCTTTACTTCACTCCTCTAAATCCCTAAGATCTCTCTCACTCTTTGATTCATCGAGAAACAACTGTGGGGTTTATTCTTCGTCATTGTCGACGAATTCTCTCTCCAATTCCAAATCCACCATTTCATTCACTTCCTCCCTACGCCTATCCGATGAAGTTGATTGAATCTTCCAATGCTGGAAACTTGGAAGAGTTGCGCGACGCTATAGAGGCGTATCCTCTCTCCGGCCCGAACAGGTCCCTTGATTTGGGACGTGCTCTGTCAATCGCCATGAAGAAACAGCATCTCGATTGCTTTGAGGTAAAATTCTCACAAAATCCTGATTTTCTTCTAATTTACTATAACCCATAACACAACCTTTCTTTTCATTCAGCTTCTCCTGAAGAGTGGAGCGCCTTTCAATCTCTCAACTGCACAGGGAAACCACCTGATGCATTTCGCCAGCCATTCAGAGAAGTATTTGCCTTATCTTGAGCTTCTCCTGGAAAGAGGAGCTTCTATGAATGTTTTGAACAATAAAGATGACACTCCTCTTCACATTGCTTGTCTTGCCTCTAACTTGAAAGCTGCTCAGGTTTTTTTCTTTTCTTTTTGTTTATGTTGTCCTGCCACTTTAGTTCCTATCTGACACTGACACATTAACCTTCATGACAGCTCCTGCTAGAAAGAGGAGCAGACATTGAATCTCAAAATCAGAATCATGGAACGCCTCTTCACTGTGCGTGTCACGTTGGGTGTGCTAACATTGAGGAGGTTAGTATCTTTTTGGTACGCGTGTATTAAGTATTCGTTAAGACAAGATCACTTACGTAATTTTTGATTAAACGTAATCTATTTGGCAGCTTCTTCTTAACCGTGGAGCTAACATTGAATCTCAGAACAATTCAGAACAAAGGCCTTTACATTTGGCCTGCACTCACAGTTCCAAGCTACCATGTGCTGAGGTTTAAAATTGTAACCCTTTATGTGGAATTCATTTTTTTTGTAAACTGACCTGGTTTATTTGAACTCAGATGCTGCTAGACAAAGGTGCGGAAATTGAGTACGAGGACGATGAGGGAATGTCTCCTCTAACAACTGCACTTGACAATAAAAACCTGGAGTGTGTTACAGTAGGTTTACATAATCTGAAACTGATGGAAATTCTCCTCTGGTGGTTGATTGAACGTAATCTATTTCTGTTTTGTTGATCACAGTATCTCCTTGAAAAAGGTGCTGATGCAAATAGGAAAGACGTAAATGGACGCACGCCCCTTCACTGGGCATGTATGATTCGTGAAGAGGAAGGGCTCTTATATGTACAGGTAATAGATGCATGATTTTTTTAAAAAATGGAAGTTTTTTGTGTTTTGTTTGAACTTAATTTGGTAGAGAGAGATTTTTAGGGATGTGACCATTAGTCATGTAAGTGTGTTTAGATGAAGAATTTGTCTTTGTTGTTCAGATTTCTGCTATTAACAAATATGAAGTCTGTGGAAAATTATATCTTTATCTTATTATCTGATTTGAAGTTCCATCGAAATAAGTAAATGTGCAAGCTTGTTTTCCAAATGTTTACACTGCTGCGCATAGTTACAAGAAAAGAAGAACAGAACTGATGTTCCATAGTTCTTGTGTTGAGTTGGTATATCCATTCATTATCAGCTTATGATTAATGTTTAGGTGCAGTCTGTGAAAATGTTTTGTTGACATTAAATAAATGATCTACCTTTTTAAACTGGATTTGGGAATCATATATGTAATGAAACTCTTTATTCAACCTGACACGATGACAACATTGGTGATATAGCATTTGGCGTAAATGCATGTTGCTTTTTTTGACTTTTGTTTTCAATAATGACTAAACAATTGCAACAGCAACTTGTTAAAGCTGGAGCAGATATTAATGCTCGAGATGAGAAGGGAAGGACTCCACTTCACATGCTCTGCCAGATTGGTCCGTTGGAAAGCATTAGTTATCTCATTGAGTCTGGAGCTGATGCAAAGATGGAGGACGAGAAAGGGAAAACGGTGATTCTCACAAATTTTTTTCTTCTTTCACTCTTTCTCTATATCTCTCTTTAACCTCGGTCTGTTTTTTCCTCCAGGTATTGTATCACGCGGTGACTAGTTCGCATACGGATGAAGCAACTCAAATTGGAATTGTTGATCGCTTGATGGAGGCTGGTGCTGATGCAAAATTGCCAACTCATGCTGGACTCAAGGTAAGATAGAAAAAGTATGTATATAATTAATTTGTTGTTTGTGTAAACATCCTAAGTTTTTTTTTTGTTTTTGCAGCGACCACATGAAACTGCTATTTATGCTAGAGTCAAGGATCATTTAGTTCGCAAGGCCTGGCATTCTCCCTGGCAAGCAGATCGATAGAAGACGGTACTAATGACGTCTGAGTTTTGTTTTATGTTGATAATCTTTGGATTTTGTGTCGTTGGATCTATATTTTTCTGTTGTGTTCATCTTGACCAAGCCGTTATGTTCTTTATAGTGATTTTGTATCCCACGTTTACTCTTACACATAGTAAGTAAGCGATGGTCTTTTGAAATGTCAATTAAATGCAAATGTCAACTGATGATATTTGGTTCTTTGTGAACCAGAACTAAACATGTGGAAACCGGATTTTGGTGTAGTATAGCACAAAAGTGGAAGAAGAGCGATTGGTGGTAAATCTGAAAAACTTGCAACTTATTGACTTCATTTATTCTCTTACAGATGATGTTTTAAAAAACTCTCTTACAAATGATGTATGATGTTTTAAAAAACTCTCTTACAAATGATGTTGTTTTAAAAAACGACAATATGGACATGGAAATGTTAGTGAATAATACTTTCATTCATCTTCGTCGTGACGTTAAGTAGTAATGTCTCTCTTATTTGTCAGTTTATGATGTGGTTTTGGATCGAGTTTGATATGGATCGAACTCTCAGAGTCTTTCGTGATTCAAATTCGGTGTTGGTTTGATCAACTTAGCCGGTGTCAAGTTGAGTGGAGTTCACATTTGCGTCAAGTACTAAAATCTGTCTAGACTAAGTAAGTTGTGACGACTCTGAGTCGAGTTATGGGTACCGAATTAACCGAAATGAACCGAATGAACCGAAATGTATTGAAATCAACCGGAACACAGATTTTAACCAAAATCACTGGCAAAAAGTGGTTTTCAGATCTAATCGGCATCAGAACTGAAGTTAGAGTTTTGGTGATTATTTAGCTAACTTGCTTAGCAGTTTATCATCTTCGTTCCCATATCGGAATTGGGTTTTAGTATTCATGTAAAATTTTCAGACTCATAAATCCCAATTTTCAAGTTTTTTTTTCAAAATTAATTTGAATTTTATGTAGTATAAACTGTGTGTCATTTGTATGAAAAGTGGGTGCCGTTTGTAATTACATCAAACTCTGCGTTTTAGATTCCGTGTGCAATGTAAACTGATGTTTTTTCGTTGCCACGAGATCGATAGATTGATTTGCATTTTTTAAAGGTAAGAATCATTTTTGCAAAAAAAATAAAGATGATGGGTTTTTTTTGCATTATTGTTTCGAATCGTCAGCCCTAATTACTGTAGAAAGACAGATATAAAATCTGGGGAAGGGTTAACGAGAAGTCTCTCTGCGTCTCCCTCATCTTGCCCTAGTCTCTTAAGCAAGCTCCTTGGATCTATCTAGTAAGTTTATCTTTCCCAAGTGGGTAGTTTTTTCTTCGATCTCAGCGTAAAATATTGATTGCGAAAACGCTCTATTCGACACAGCCTTTGATCGGAAATCGTAATCCCTAATAATTTTGATTGATAAACCTTTGTTATTCGGTAAAATTGCAGTCTTGTTTTGAGGGTTTGTGATGTGGGTTTTGTATCATTAGAATTGCGTAGGAATATAATTGAAATTTCGGTTGATTTATTGCTCTTATTGTCTGTCTCGATATTATTAATTTCGTGTTGTTTTTTTTGGACTAGTATTTTTGTGCAGAGAGAAAATGGAGGAGGAGAAGAAGAGTTTCAAGAAGATGACGAGTGTGTTTCCTAAGAAAGAGGATTTTGATGAAATTATTCTTGGTGTCGAGCAGTATTATAAGATAAGGCCTGTTGTCCCAAAATTTAAAAGATCTTTCCGTCGCCATTATGCAGAGAAAGTAAGGGACGCAAGGAATCTCATGTTGGATAAGCTCATTCTGTATTCCAACGAGCTTCCTACCGATTACAATGATGAGCTTCTCTATCAACGCTTCCAACCATTTCACTGTATCCTCGCTCGAGACCAACTGCGTCGTGCAGTGCAAGTGATTGGCCAGATGGCCTCTTATTTTATCCGGCTACTGAAGAAGGATGAGTGTGATTCACTGGACCAGTGCAAGCGCCTCAAGGTGACTGCTCTTGGGTGTATGTATACTGTTGCAATGAGGTGCCTTCCTAGCTTGGCTTTTCTCGACAGGATCAGGCAGTACATGGCAAATTTGGAAGATGATGAGAATGCTTCTACTGCTACTGCTACTGCTACTCTGACGATCAAGACAGACCAAGATGTCTTGGCTGAGGAACGCTGCACAGTCCCTAACTACTTTGATGCTCATAAGCTTGATGGCTTTGTTGATCCAGAAACTATGTCTTGGCTTTGGGAGTTGGAAAGTAAACATGGCGCCCTGCTCCAAGATGATGTTCAAGTGATGAGCAGCATGGAAGCATTGGTGATTTAAAAGCCCTTCATTTGCATACATATATCCATCAAGCTGTTCAAGAATCAAATTATCTCCCCAGCTCTTAGATATTTTATTTTTATTATGCTATGCTTGTTTGCGGATCTAATGTTTGGTGTTTCCTTGTGTTTAAAAACCTTGCGAGTGAATGTCTTGGTGCGAATAATTCTGCAATGACTCGTTGCTTATCCGTGTGTGCACATTTATACAAGAAAGTTGCCAACATTCTCTTGTACCTTGATGTTCTTCGTATTTTTTTACTTGAGAGTTTTACACAGGGCCCCTAAATGTTTGCGGATGCATCCTAAGAAGAGCATGTCAAGCTTTTTGGATCAGTCATTATCTCGTCTTTCAAAGTACATCCATCCAACTCCCCCCATTCAGTTCCCATAGGTCCTCTTCAATAATCTTCAATAATACCGCATGTAGTTTTAATGGAGCAACAAGTATTTTGATTCTCTATTGCAAACAGTTCTTCACTTTCATTTTCCGTCAATGCATCATCTAATCCACAGCTCATTTCTTCGATGTTCCTGCAAAAGTAAATAATGAGCCTAGACTACTTGAACAAATTATGCTAAAATGTACGTTTCAATAGTTTAATAGTCTGACACTTGATATGAAAGTATATAAAAAAACACTTTTATAAGTAAAGAGTGCTAAAGAATGACAGTGGTATAATTATTAGCAAAAGTTGCCTCACCAAATTACAAATGTGCTTAAAAATTCATCAAAAACCAAATGAGAAACACAAAAAAGAAGAAGCTTTTGTCTTGTTTTGCTAAAAATATAGAGAACAACTTTCCAATGGGCTCTCTAGGTCCTCCATTGGTCCAGGCCCTCTGTATCATCTTGAATTTAATGAAATAACCAAATATTAAAAAAATGAAGTTTTCGAAGAAATAAGAAGAAGAATGAAAATGATGAGAGTGTTTCCGATTCTTCATCGAAATCCGCTAATAATAGATCCAAATGGGTCTCTCTGATTTCGATTGTGATCTTTGATGGGTCTCAGAAAGTTGGGACAATGGAGAAGGAATTTGATTCAAAGCTTGTTCTTCAAGAGGATTCATCAAATGGTGAAAGTATATCCAGAAGCAAGAGCTTCGCATTTAAGGCTCCGCAGGAGAATTTCACCATCCAGGATTTTGAGCTCGACAAGATCTATGGCGTTGGCTCTTATTCAAAGGTCTTTAATTCGAATACATTTTTTTATTCATGATTTTTTTTGGTGCTTGCTGCTTAAAATCTCGATCCTTGAGTTGATTCATATCTGGGAGCTTTTTGATTGGAATTGGAAAACTTCTTCCATAGCTTCAAGTGGATTTTGCTTATGGATAATCGAATCAGGTTGTTAGGGCAAAGAAGAAGGAAAATGGAGCTGTGTATGCGTTGAAGATCATGGACAAAAAATTTATCACCAAGGAGAATAAAACAGCTTATGTCAAATTGGAGAGGATTGTCCTTGATCAACTCGACCATCCCGGGATTGTCAAACTCTTCTTTACATTTCAAGATTCATTCTCACTATGTACGTACTTTCTATTCGGGTGGCTTTCTTTTATAGACTATAAAATTTTGTTCACTCTGTGTGTTTGAACAGTGTGTCCTGTGATTGTGAGTGATCTTGGTCTTTCTCATTTTGTAGACATGGCGCTTGAATCTTGCGAAGGTGGGGAACTTTTCGACCAAATCACCAGAGTAAGATACTACTATTCAGAGTCTGTGAAACATTGATGCAGTTTCTTAAAATGTAGTTTGCATTATTGTTCTGTTTTGTTTTTTGGTAGAAAGGTCGCCTGTCAGAGGATGAAGCTCGGTTCTACAGTGCGGAAGTTGTGGATGCTCTTGAGTATATACATAATATGGGACTGATACATCGTGATATAAAGGTAGCTTCGTTTTCACATAGCCTCTCTTTCAAGACCGACAAGAACACTGTGCATTATAGCTTAACATTTTCCTTGAATTTTAAACAAGTAGCCGGAGAATCTGTTGCTAACGTCAGATGGACATATTAAGATTGCTGATTTTGGTAGTGTAAAGCCAATGCAAGATAGCCAAATCACAGTACTTCCTAATGCAGCTTCCGGTAATATGAAGTCATGATCCTTTTCTATGTTCTTGAGCTTAAGGTCTTATTGACAATTTGTTTTCAGATTCTGGTTTAAGCTTGTCTGTAAACTGGTGACTTATGCAGATGATAAGGCGTGCACTTTTGTAGGGACAGCTGCATATGTTCCTCCTGAAGTTCTCAACTCCTCTCCAGCAACTTTTGGGTAAGACGTAAGAGTTTTGTGTTAGAACAAACATTTCAGCACTACTTGATGAAATGGAGCTTCTAAATTCTAAAGTAGCCCTTTGGTTCTGTGGATTATTGCAATGCCTCTTACTTAGAACAGTTTTCTTTGGTATATCCTGAACACATAAACAGAAACGATCTCTGGGCACTCGGCTGCACCCTGTACCAAATGCTTTCAGGAACTTCTCCATTCAAGGATGCAAGTGAATGGCTGATTTTCCAAAGAATTATAGCGAGAGATATAAAGTTCCCAAATCATTTCTCAGAAGCAGCAAGAGACCTCATTGACCGATTACTGGTAAGATATGCTCACTTTACCCAGTCTTTGCTCATCAGGAATCACAAGTCTTGAGCTATGGTACTCTCTCAGGATACAGATCCTAGTAGAAGACCAGGAGCTGGATCAGAAGGTTATGCTTCTCTCAAGAGACATCCTTTCTTCAATGGAGTTGATTGGAAAAACCTAAGGTCACAAACTCCTCCAAAACTAGCTCCAGATCCTTCGGTATTTACCTCCTTATATACTCCTAAAAGGCGTGTCAAAATGTTTCCGCATTGTGCTTCTCTTGATCTGTTTTTTTTTTCTTTTGCAGTCTCAGTCAGCATCTCCCGAGAGGGACGGGTCTCCGTGGAACCCAACACATGTTGGAGATGCTTCAGTGATGCAGAACGATGGACACGGTGGCCACTCTTCAACTTCCGAGTCCTCAGGTTCCATAACCAGGCTTGCCTCCATAGACTCTTTTGATTCGAGATGGTAAGACACTACTAGGCTTTACTGTTTTTTTCCGAGAAAAAAAAAATCTCTGTTTTCAAATCCTAAGGGGGCTTTGAAATGTTGGCGTGTTAACAGGCAACAGTTTCTTGAACCGGGAGAATCGGTTCTAATGATATCAGCAGTGAAAAAGCTACAGAAAATCACAAGCAAGAAGGTGCAGCTAATACTCACCAACAAACCGAAACTGATCTACGTTGACCCATCAAAGCTTGTTGTAAAAGGGAACATCATCTGGTCTGACAACTCCAATGACCTCAACGTTCAAGTCTCAAGTCCTTCGCATTTCAAGATTTACACAGTAACTAATGGCTCTCTCACCAGTTTTCATTTCTTTTCGAGGTTTTTTTCATTATTTCCAGGCAATGAAACTTGACTGTTGATTCTTTTTGGCGTTTTCCTTGTTTAATTTGGCAGCCGAAGAAGGTTTTATCGTTTGAAGACGCGAAACAACGAGCTTTGCAGTGGAAAAAGGCAATCGAAAATCTTCAAAATCGTTGAGACTCAGTAGGATGATGATAATTTCATAAAACCCATTTGTTATTTTTTTTTCCTTAATTCAATTGATTACTACGTCTCATTGTATGCAAAAGAGAAAATAGTCTTCTCTGCATTCAAGGACGTTTCTTGAGCCGTAAGTTTGTCTTCTCCTATCCCGGAAGATGATTATTAAGTTTTTGAATCAGTCTTTTCGATTCAGTTTTTCAGATATATAACAAGATAATTTATGACTCTTTCCCTAATAACTTATAAGAGAATTGCCTGATTCAACATGCGCACTCTGCAGAAATTGTATGGAAAAAAGATTAGTTTATAAAAACATTGATAATTGTTTTGAAAAATATTGTTTCGAATTGTCAGCCCTAATTAATGTAGAAAGACAGATAAAAGCTGGGGAAGGGTTAAGAGAGAAGTCTGAATATTCCTCCCTCCCTAGTCTCTTAAGCAAGCTCCTTGGATCTATCTAGTAAGTTTATCTTCCCCAAGTGGGTAGGGTTGTTTACGATCTCAGCGTAAAACATTGATTGCGAAAACGCTCTGTTGGACACAGCCTTCGATCGGAAATCGTAATCCCTAATAATTTTGATTGATAAACTTTTGTTATTCGGTAAAATTGCAGTCTTTCGTTTGTGATGTGGGTTGTATCATTAGAATTGCCAAAGGAATATAAGTGAAATTTCGGTTGATTTTTTTTGTCTCGAATTGTAGTAATTTCGTGTTGTTTTTTTTGGACTAGTATTTTTGTGCAGAGAGAAAATGGAGGAGGAGAAGAAGAGTTTCAAGAAGATGACGAGTGTGTTTCCTAAGAAAGAGGATTTTGATGAAATTATTCTTGGTGTCGAGCAGTATTATAAGATAAGGCCTGTTGTCCCAAAATTTAAAAGATCTTTCCGTCGCCATTATGCAGAGAAAGTAAGGGACGCAAGGAATCTCATGTTGGATAAGCTCATTCTGTATTCCAACGAGCTTCCTACCGATTACAATGATGAGCTTCTCTATCAACGCTTCCAACCATTTCACTGTATCCTCGCTCGAGACCAACTGCGTCGTGCAGTGCAAGTGATTGGCCAGATGGCCTCTTATTTTATCCGGCTACTGAAGAAGGATGAGTGTGATTCACTGGACCAGTGCAAGCGCCTCAAGGTGACTGCTCTTGGGTGTATGTATACTGTTGCAATGAGGTGCCTTCCTAGCTTGGCTTTTCTCGACAGGATCAGGCAGTACATGGCAAATTTGGAAGATGATGAGAATGCTTCTACTGCTACTGCTACTGCTACTCTGACGATCAAGACAGACCAAGATGTCTTGGCTGAGGAACGCTGCACAGTCCCTAACTACTTTGATGCTCATAAGCTTGATGGCTTTGTTGATCCAGAAACTATGTCTTGGCTTTGGGAGTTGGAAAGTAAACATGGCGCCCTGCTCCAAGATGATGTTCAAGTGATGAGCAGCATGGAAGCATTGGTGATTTAAAAGCCCTTCATTTGCATACATATATCCATCAAGCTGTTCAAGATATTTTATTTTTATTATGCTATGTTTGGTGTTTCCTTGTGTTTAAAAACCTTGCGAGTTCCTCACATGCATGCATCAACAACTTAATGAAACTTGCGAGAACACTCGAGAAAGTTTATGAATCTATCGGTTTAAACTTACAAGAGATCTTGTCTGATTCAACATGTGCGGACTCTGCAGAAATTGTACGGAATTTTGTCCATTTCGGGTTCTTTACAGGTTTTTTATTTTTATTTTAAAAAAAAATCGATTAACATAAAACTTTACATCACTTTCAACCTTGTTAATTTACCAAAAAGAATCATAGATCGAGAAATGTATTAGCCTCTATACATTCTCCTGCTTTCAGCTATACACAATGTAAAGAGCAGAGACTCCCTTGTTCCAAAAACTCAGGGTGTCAGTTTATATGGTTATGCTTCCCGCCTTTTCTTCTTTGACTGGTTTTATTGATATAATTCTGATCCTCCATTGCCTTTATTCTGTTAAAAAATCACACAGCTTCCTTGAGATTCCGATTCCTTCATTCAAGACTGGAAATAGCTATCGTGGATGGCAAGCCGATCAAACGCATCAAAGTTTGCTTTTAACCCGACAAACTGACTTCCGAGATGCGCACATCCCGCTTCAGGCCATCTACATACTCCTTCTCTTGTACGCAATGGACACAACGCTTCACAAACTCTTCCCAACGGGTTTCCACATCTGCTTTCTTCAGCCATTAGTGAGATTGATACAGAAACATCTGAGTTGTTCCCGTGTCTGTCTCGCCTCCTAGGGTTATTATCCTCCAAAGAGCATGTTCTTGGGTCGTCTTCGACATCCGATGTGGTGAAGTTAACGTTGCAGCCAAGTGACTGTACTGCTCGGGTTAAAGCTGCGTATTCCTTGGTGGCTCGGTTTGCAGATTCTCTAGCTGACCAACTCATACGCCTTTCTCTTAGCAACTCCGCACTTAATGACTCCATAGCAAAAGATATCTCGTCCACTCTTCTTTCCGCTGCTTCTTTATCCTGTTTCATATCAATTTTGAATGTGAAAACATTGGAACACAATATATCAAAAAGGGATCAGATGAGTTAATTAAGTTACCTTTTGCATTTCGGAGTATTTCACTCTCATGGCTCTACATTGGACTTCGATATCCGCAGATTTAGCTTCCTCGGGACAGGCCCACCGGAGATGGAACTGGGGCCAAAGGGTAGGGGCTAGAGATGCTGCTGGAGGTAATAATGGCCCGTCGTATTTTAACGGATCATAGAACGGGTTACAATGGGCATGAGAAGTTGCAGCAAATGAACGCAGATCAGTCAAGTACGCCCATAGGCACCCACATGCTTCAGCAATCCCACATTGCTGCCTCTCTTTCTCACTGAAATTTACATCAGCTCACATATCGGTCAAACTTAATACAAATTGGTTTCACAATCACTTCTGTATGGAGCTTCAAAAGAAAGATTTACCTGTTGCATAAGAAGTTCCCGAAACGACATGAAAGCAAGCAATCCATGAAATCTACAAGGAAAGTCTGTAATACCAGATTTAAGGCCAGTGAGTACTATTATCACTGAACGAAGTTGAACATGAATTGTCTGTAAAAAGTGTTAGCCTTCATGCCTACCGGAGAAAACTCAAAAGCACAAGGATACATCCGCATTAGCTGTGAAACGCTATCAACCCACTACAAACACACAGTTGTGAAACATAGTATTAACTGTTTGTGTGCCAACCCATCGAAATAGATCTAAACAGACAAGGATTACTATAGTTCCAAGTAATAGTTGCTCGCTCACCTGTGTAAATATAGGTGAATAATTGTTTTGCGCATGGGAAGAGCTTGAAGATTGTGAGGCTGCTGATCCTGAAGACTGACGCACTGGAGATGAAGGGAAACTTCCAGCAGAAGAAGACTGCCTTGGTAAGTCAAAATTACCAGGTCCTGATATGTTAGGCATTCCTACACGATCCGAAAATGGGTGACCAAAAGCAAGCCAATCTTTTTCGACAAGAGCCTGATGTGACGTCAATGGAAAAGATTACATAAGACAAGGGTGTAGCAAACAAGAACCGCATAAAGAATGTTGATACACAATTAGTTGGAAAGAACATATGAATGATATGGTAACATCTTCGTTGGGTGTACAGCAAAACATGAATGGATACTACGAATAGTATTCCGTATGGTACTCCCAGCCTACAGATGTAACCTTTAACAAACACGTCTAGTAACCAATTTCACAGAGCTAAAACATAAATTATGAGAAACTAAAGTAAGCCTCAACTAAAATCTGAACTAGATAAAGGCTTTAGTAAAATTAGTCACATACAAAAACAGACCCAGAAACACCAAAATAAGCTCAAGGAATACCTGAAACCCAGCAAATGTCCTGTAGTATGGATCAAGCATTAAGCAAGCAAGAGAAACCAGCTGAGTAGTTCTGTCCCATCCATCACTGCGCAATGACACAGACTATGAAGAGTCATAAAATAACAAAAAAAAAAAATACTGACATCGATAACCAGTCTTTTCTTCATCCTGATAAGAAATTGAAGCTTCCACTTAAAACAGATGCATCTTCATTTTATCAAAGAGATAGAAACTGGTGAGTAAACAGTTGGGTGGTGATGTAGTTTCAAGATAGCTAACCTGCAGTGCACAAGAACCGATGCCGACTCCATTGCAACACGTGCAGCAATCCATGCTGCACCAGCTAAGACGTTCTGGATGTGTATCAACCAACCACTGTCTCCAAGTAAAGACACGGAAGCAGACATACTACTAAGATTACCTCCTCCCCAAGTCCAACCACCGTGTCTCTACAGATTCCACGAATACAAATATCTTAATGATTAGCAACATAAGTAAAGATGCAAAGTAAAATACATAATATTGTATCCTCTAAGGAACTCTGCCAAAACAATTAATACATTATAACACAATGTGCTTCTGAATGAAGTTCTCATCAGCTTATAAAACTTTAAAGAACTCATCAACTTTTATTGAACAAAGGACACCCACTTCATTGCTGAAACTATCTTAAGGCCACATGCTAGTGAGCGTAAGACACATTATTAAAGAAAATTTTGATATCTATACCAACTGTAATAACAAAAGGTTCCTGGATATTCAGTACTCACCAAGAACGATGATCTCCCATCAGATGATGTTGTACCGTGCATATCTAAATAATCTCTAAGTCGGGAAAAGCTCTCCCTCATTGCATGTATGTTGTCTATGCCAAAGAAAACAATCTGAAGAAAGAAACACCGTCTCTTAAATCAAGCAATTCCAAAAGATCAAGTCTTTGAGCATCAAACCACGAATATCATTTACTGACTTCAGACTGAAAATAATTTGAAGATGATTCTGAGCCGCCTCCCATTGCTCCATTTGCTAATGCATTTTTCCTAGGTCTCGCATCTGCAATATAAAGCTTCCTACACAGTAAAAAAAATAATCGATGAGATAAGTGCATCTTTTTCAATATCAACCATATGGAATGAGATCCGCACATCCTTGTGAATGGAAAGCCATGTCAACCATATTGGATATTCAACAACAAACAAAGCTATTTTCATTGCAACCAAAGAGACCTTTCGATACATTCAAAAGATAATATCCCGTCCAGCAAGACCAACTATATTGTATTTCCATTGTGAGATGTATTCATGATTCATAATTTTCACTCTCTATAACGACACATAAAATACAAACAGGTAAGAGTTAACCAGATCAAGGAACGTCAGAAGCTCACCTTCGTTCTCCCGTACCAGCTTGCTGAGTGCAGAATGCAGCAACAAGTTTTTCATCAAAATTACTGTCAAGATAAGTGACTCAAATCAAACTTCAAAAGCTTTGAAATCCATAATTAAAGCTAAAGTATTCACCAAATGGATCCTCATGAATTTGGAAGTTTAATATACCTCCTCATATTCATCATGAGACCCACTAAAGGTTGTGATGAGCGTGCAATTACAGCTCCACTGCCTGCAATCGCGACCAAAAGGTGCATGTCAGTGTGAATGCAATACCACCCAAATTAAAACGGAAGCAACCAGAAAATCTGCATTTTTACCTGGCTGACACCACGTGATCACAGGTAAGCGACATTTTGCCCGGAAAGAAGACGCCTGGAGCAGCTCTTCATCACTATCAGCAACAATTAAACTCATTATAAAGATGGTCTAGTTCCGACACGGAAAAGAGAGACATGCCAAATCAGGGAAGAGAATTTTTTGGTAAGCTCGTAAAAGATAACAATGTCCTACCTTATAGATTTTGGAACCATAAAAGCAAATGGATAACTCTGGCACAAGTTATAATTAGAGTTCAGGTCACTTATCCGCCACAGCTCATTCGAAAATGTGAATGATCCATCTTCAATCATATCCATTGATGCTCGTAATGAACTTTTTCCGAGAAGACGGAAATATTCATTAAGCAATCTTTCTTTAGGGTTTGCGTTACCAAATTTAGAAGGTCCGCATGCAAAAGTATAAAGATCCCATACTCTCTCCGGCTTGCTACACCTCAGTAATGCATCAAACACAGTACGCCTCTGCAAGAATATAATCAAAAGGTCATACAGATTTCAAGGAGAAATGAACATTGGCAGCTTAAGAAGAGGTGAGAGTTTTACCTGCTTGGTTTTAGGACGAAAGCCATAAACAATTATCCTCATGTCTTTGCCTGCAAAATGTCACAGCATATAATGTCAGTATCATTGTGAAATGTCTATCGTCCAAGATAATACTGAGACGTCAGGAATCAAGGAAAAAAAGAGAAACACAATAAAAACTTCCTACTGAATTTTGAGATAGGAAGCAAAGAAACAGGCAGACAAAGTTTACTCAAAAGTCAGCTCTAGTATATAATTAAAACTGGAAACATACCAGTAACCTGTAAAAGACGTCTTTGTGGGTTTTTGTCGGCCAGACGATTGCTTGATTGAACTTTCAGGACCTGTGTATGTCACCCACAAATCAAAAAGTAAAT